GCCGCTTATCAGAACCGCAGAGCACGTCCGCCGTCTCTCTCTCCTTCGCGACTGATAATAGCCGATGCAGAAATAGATCTGATTGTAGTCAATGAGCTGTGGGTGAAAGAGAGAGAGCGAGATAGAGAGAGAGAGAGAACGAAGCTCGGTCAAGGCTTCGTTTATTTACATCATGCAAAGTGCATCGCGTTCACACCGCCGCCGTCGAGGCGATCGCGCTGCGTGCTCGCGAAGGCAGCAGCACAGGTCTGTGTCTTCGCGCCGATTACTTTCACTTCGATACACGACAATGGTCGCGAATCAATCGGGATAGTTTTTCAATTACGAGTGTATCGAGAAATTTTTGATTTTAAATGTCAGACTCTCTTCGCTTCGAAATATGAGAAGAAAAATTGTATGTTCTGAGAAAAGGCAAATTTTATATAAAAGAGAGAGAGAGAGGCAGCGCTGTTAAAGATAGAAGTGACGCAGGTGTTGTGCGTCGGATTTGATACCGTAAGGAACAAAGCGGAGCTCAATCAAGTGGAAACAATCGAAAACTAATTTAATCTCAGTTTCCAACGATCCAACGAGCGCTCGAGGAGAGTAAGAAGATCGCCAAGTTTCGCTTGCAAATTAATTAATTTTTACCGCATTTTTCCGAAACAACGTTCTTCTTTTTTCTTGTAAATACAAACACGGATTTCGCGAATTCGCGTCGTTGATGCGTCTCCGGGTCTCGTTTTATTTCTAAATTTTCTCTTCTTCCGCTCGTTACATCTGTTACTTCGCTGCTGACGATGTCGTAACCAACCTGGAAACGAGATTTTAATTAAACTTCGATGTCCCGAAGAGAGATGCAGCATCGCGGCAGCGGCGGCGACGGCTCATCCGACCCGCGCCGCGAGATGCACCGCGTCTTTCTCTCTCTCTTTCTAAGGTGCACTTCCGCGCGCAAATGTGTGTCACGAGTTTCCCACGAGATGCACCGGCGAGTGGCGGCATAGGCGCGGGCATAAACCAATTACTACCGAGACGCATAGAATCTCTCTCTCTCTTTCTTTCCATTGATTCGCGCGCGCGTGCTATTTGCGCGCGAATGCGCCGGTCGCGCACGGCAGAAAAAAAATTCACGCGTCGCGCTTTAATAATGACAGCGTTAAATCGCAACCTGCGATTATTCAGCGAATTACCGATGCGTTCGCGCGCATAACTGTTCAGGCAATACATCGCGTAGTCGCGATTCATCCTCGGGTTTCGAGAAGTAGAACGCGGCGGTAACCCCGCGCGCGCGTATGTCCGCGACCTTCCGACGAAAGAGTTTCGCGGGAAACTCAGGTAGCGGGAAGATGGACTCGATCTAAATTTCGAAGTGGACGACGTGTGTGAGATAAGCGAGCGCGGACGTGAGATTGCGTTCTTCTATAAAGCAATCTCTTCTCCAAAAGAAATTGGGTTTCTTAGCGGTAAATCGCGGTTTTCGAATGATCGAAACATTTTCTCAACTAATTCTTTTATCGTCTGAGATAAGAGTGTAGGCGTGTGCAAAATATATATATACATTTGTGTCCGCAACATTTCTCTGTCAGTGCAATGCACCTGTTGACAGTGATAACATCGTGCCGAAGTTAAGCGACAGAGATAACATTGTTGCGAAGGAACACGCATACCGATTTGTATTGTGATATGTCACGTGATTGTGAGTGTTCTCCGCGCTGCGACGTTTTCATTGTTCGATCTCTTTTTTGTGATATTTATCCTGTCGTTTGGTTTTTTTTGTGATTGTGTCAATGTTTTAAATCTACTGCGTGAGCGAAGTAATTGTCGAGATCTTCGCCGGGGGGGGGGGGGGCGAGTCTAACTCGCGGAGGATTAAAATTATCGGCGGGAGGCGCGTATTTCACGGAGGATGCTGTGAGGTTTCAGCTTGTCCCCGCGAGGCGTTTCTTGCCTCCGGCAAAATCTCGGCGAAATAAGTGACGCTGATCGCGCGAAGGGTAAATGGAGTCATGGTTTGCCTCGCCGAGGCCAACAAGAACGCCTGATGCCAAGATGCAACGGTATACGTCATAACATTCCCACGGTGAATCGACCGGGCGTTTTCTACCGCGACCGGAGGTGCGTTCGGAGAGAGAATCGTATCTCGTCGTGACTAATAGCGACGATATAAACAACCAAGACGCTTCCAATTCGCGAAATTAGACTTTCGGCGAGAGAGAGAGAGAAAGAGATGCGCTTTCTTCTTCTCAAGAGAATCCTGAGATCTTAATTACTATCGATTTCGAATCCGTTATTTGAATACAGTTCAATGCCGGAAATGTATAAATTTTAACGCTCTCATAGCCGCGTGCTATTCGCTCGCAATATTTACTTTATCTACTTAATATCGTTCGTTATCGTTAATAATTAATTTTCGCAAAGATGTTACATCCGGCCGATATGACTTTCAAAAACGTGACTTCAACGAATAGTCTGGGAATAGCTCTCTAAGAGCTGGCTATACATAATTTTTTATGTGTCTCGGTACAGTCCTAATTTTTACTTAGAAAAGTTCTGACAAGCGAATTTTATTTTTATCGATAGTAATTGAATATTTTCTAGTAAAAATTAGGACTGTACCGAGTCACATAAAAAATTATGCAGCCAGCTCTCCGTCTAGAACTCTCGAGCCGGATTGCGCCACGTTGCCTCACAGCGGACAACGATTCTTTCGGGTGACTGAACGAAAAACTACGTACGCAAGAAAGAACGAGTTAAAAAGAACGGATGACGGGAGTGGTTTTTTCAAAGCGGCGATGTTGCGGCACGCAATCGCCCCGTTTGCGGGAGTTACGACCTCGCGTCGAGCAACGACGACGGGATCGAGATAGTTCTCATAAAAATCCTGGAAATATCCTGCGCGTTACTTCTTACACCACATTACGTCGCCGCAACGCGCCGTAACGGTTCCAGAACGGGCGAGAGGGGGGGCGGAAGGGAAAGGGGAAAGGAGGAAGAAAAAAAGCGCCATTCTGTCGCTCTCGGCGAGCGGAATTAGAAATTACAATTAGCGCAGAGAGCGCGTTTCCTAATACGCGCGCGCTCGCGCTTTACCGGGGCGAGGAAGGGAGGAGGAGAGCGTGAGAAACACCGCGAACGGTTCGCGATTTTTACCGGTACGCATCGATAAGTCGCGATTATTCAACCGATCTTGACGGCTACGCCGAGTTGTTGCGGTTCATTAGCGGATTAATTGCAGCGCTGGGATTGTTGTCCGTAAATCGCAAACTCTGTCGTTTGTTCTAGTTTTCGAGATATGTGTAAAATATATATATATATATATATATATATATATATATATAAATAAAGTGTCTATGTATTTTTTTATGTAACTTGATATTATTTATACACTTCATAAATATTTTATACAACGAGAGGAAACACAAAATTGAAACATGCAAAATTGAAACGTCACACAATGATTTGCACTCGGAAATTGCATTTCCGCATTGTGGCGGACCAACACACATTTCTCCGTCACGATTTGAATATTTAACCGAGATAATAACAACTTGCTTGGTAATAATTATTATTATTTGCTCGAACGTAAATTGCGTAACCGTTCTACTTTTGCCTCGCTCGCTCTTCTTATCGAGGAAGAAGATAAAGTTACCAAAGTGTAAATCGACTTCCTTCTTTCGGCTATTGTTAACGCAGTTTCGTGCCGCATCCGTTCTGCAGAGAAAGCGGATCGTCCGCTGCGCGCGTACTTAGCGTTCGTGCGGGTTCGCTTCCGGTACGAAACGTGCGGTTTCCGGTGCGCATGTACGATATCGGCTACGCGCCACGGCATATCGATCAGTCAGTAAGAACCGGGCGCTCGCGAACGCCGGTCGCGCGGATCGGCGTGGCATCTCCCGCGGTTTGCTTTCAAAATCGAATCCCGAGACGTTCCCGCGAACAAAGACCCGAAGAGACATTTCTCTTCCTTCTCTCTTTGTTTTCTTATATTCTTTAAAAAAAATAAATAATTAAATAAATAAATTTGCAACATGTCAAATTTCTTTAAACACGTCGCTTGTTCTATTTGCGAGTGATGAAATTAAAGTGAATGTGTTTGCAAACGATAAAGTAATTAAACAGAGATAGAATATCTCCGAAGAGATAGTCTTGGCGCGCGTGTTAAGACATTTAATTAATTATAGTTACACGGGAAATTACACGATCGATTGCGATCGAGTTCGAGGGGAAGAAACTCGTTGCAATTCTTCAGGAATCTATTTCCATGCTAATACCAGCTGACGCGTACGTCTTCGCCGATCGCCTGGAAGCATCCTGGCGGCGTCCCCGCATTCCGGATCGGCGAACTGGCATTATGAGATGCCGGAGTGGAAACGCTCGACGAGCCCCGACGAGAGGTGCCTCTTTTGCCCATTCGAGTTCCCCGATCGAATTCTTCTCTCCGCTCCTCCCTCGCGCCCAACTCCGTCGGAGAACCTCTTTGTTCCACATCCGAAGAGTGGCTACATTATATATCTTAGAGTGAATTTTCCGACCGCGCGCTACGTGGACGACCTATATTTCCTTCAGCTGCGCCGCACTTCGTGCCGCGCGTTCGTTCGATCGAGAAAAAAGAGAAATCCAATGTGCTTTCGCAGTTCGACGCCTACGCGAAACGAGCGGTCGGGAAGGTCGAAATAATTTATTAGCGACGGAATGTTCACGTTGACACACTGACTAGCATATCGAATACAAGTAATTTGTTCCATCGACGTCGAAGTGAAATATTGCGCGTCATTACTTCGAATGGAAGAAAAGAGAAATGTTCAAGTCTTGGATTTTGTACAATTATTTTTTTAATATCTCGCAATTGTCGCGATCTTGAAAGAAAGAAAAAAAAACAGATATTTCTCATGCCCGTTACAGCTTCACGCTATTACGAAACCTTACGAAGCGGGCGAGATAAATTCGCGATGATTAAGCTACGATGTATACTAATCGCTCGTTGTAACTAATTGAAACATTGTCGTTTTCTGTTGCAGCTCCCAGATCATCGAACGCGGGTACCAACAACCTGCCGCCGTTGACGTTTCATCATGTGCACGGTGACAATATCAGACTGTGCAATGGCGGCACAATCGCCCGGAGGCACGAGAGCTTTTGCAAGGGTGTCACCTTTAGCGCCAGACCCGTGCGAGTGGGCGAGAAGGTGAGGAGCTCCTCGATCACAAGCGCCGCTTAAATCATCAAGTCAGCAGTCCGCTGCGATTGTGGGAAACCGCCGCGCGACTCTCGTTTCGCTCGAGAAACCGCCGCCGCGCATTCCTCGAATATTAAAACAGACCGCGATCGCGAGCGCGACTCTATTTTTTTTTTTTTTTTTTTTTTTTTACGTTGTTTCTGCATATCGTTTCGCACAAGTCGGAATTACGAGCTCTCGCGGTTACTACGCGAGCTTAACTACGTCCGTTACGTAGTTGTTAGGTAACACAAGTGGATCGTATAACCGCGCGCTTAAACGCTGATCTAAACGATTCTCGAGAAGGAGGCGGCTGATCTTCAGAATTAATTCGCAAAGTACACGAAGACGATTTTTATTATCAAGAGACGTGGACGGGTCGTTTTTATTACTAAGCGTGTTCGGGACATGTGTTTTTTTTTATTTCTATATATTTGAGTGATCAGAGCTAATCGCGCGCGTGGATGTAAAATTGTTACGACGTATCGCGCGTGGGATGATCAATCAGATGTAATTAATTTGCGCGAGGATGCCTCGGATATAAAATACCAATTTAGGATCGATCGATCGGTGCTTCTCTAAAAATTTCGCAAGACTCTTGCGGAACGAAAGTTAAACACTCGACTTAAATTGGTTTCTTTTTGCGTAAAAACGCAGGTCTGTGTGAAGTTCCTGGAGATATCCGATAATTGGAGCGGCGTCATTCGTTTCGGCTTCACCAGCAACGATCCGATCAACCTACGGAGCGGTCTGCCGAGGTACGCGTGTCCCGATTTGACTAACAAACCGGGTTACTGGGCGAAGGCCCTCGCCGAGAGATTCGCTGAAAGGGACGCGGTGCTCTTCTACTACGTCACGTCAGCCGGCGACGTGCACTTCGGCGTGAATGGCGAAGAGAAAGGCGTCTTCTTCAGCGGCGTCGAGACCCGGGGTCCGATATGGGCGATTATCGACGTTTACGGCAACAGCACGGCGATCGAGTTCGTCGATCCGAATCGCCAGCACTTCAACAACATCCGCCGAGGTGCCGACCACAGCAACGAGGACAACGCGCAACACAGCAGGCACTCGGCGATGGACGATGCCAGCAACGCCGGTCGGGACGTCGAAAGAATCATCGTGCCGTCCATGCAAAGCATGTCGATTCATCACGAGCCTGACGTCGAGCTACCCGGGCTCAGGTTTCAGCCCCCCGGCGTTATCTTCACTCCTCTGCCCTTCCACTCGTGAGTATCGAGCGAGTTGGGTCGTCTACTCGCGTTTCACCCACTTGATCTGGGACTAGCCGATGCGTAATGCCGCGTTGTTAGAAAAGGTTCTTGCACTCTCGCTCGCTGGCTCGTCAGTTTTTGAGTCAGCTGATTTAAGTCGCGATTTAAAAAATCAATTTAATTTATTCCTTGAAATATTCCTAGCTTTGAAATTTCACTTGTGCAATTATGGATTTTTATTAAAAATTGTCAGATTAGCAATAGTTTTGTATTGCTTTACAGTCACAATATTATGTTCGAGTGATTATGACATTGGGTTGTTCGCAAAGTTCGTAGAGTTCTCCAACAAATGACATTATCGTATAGATGGCGCCACATGTCCGAAACATGTACACATGAGATATCACGCAAATATTAAGAACATCGAATCGTATGTGAGCTTTTACAAAAGTTTAATTAGTTGGTACAATGAGCCTTCAAATTTGATTAAAAAACGCTACGATACGTTCGAGCAACCCAATACAATCGAAAGAGTCGTTGGACTATAATAAACGTATCGCTCTGGCCAGCGCAGCGAATCGTTCAGTCGCACAGAACCAATTTGCTGTCCACTTTCTCAAGATGTCCGTCATTAGCAAGCGAGTGCCACCAAGACTAACCGTTTCCTGATTTTCTTTCTTCGCAGCACTCGGGGTAGGAACATCCGCTTCAGCAACCAACAGTGCGTGGCGACGCGCACCGACACGGAATTCTGTCATGGCTACGCATTTACGAGTCGACCGTTGTTGTTGGGCGAGCGGATAGTCGTGCAGATTCTCTCTACGGAGCCAATGTACGTTGGCGCTCTTGCCCTCGGCCTGACCTCGTGCGATCCAGCACGTCTCACGGCGGAGGATTTGCCGGACGACAGCGATCTACTGCTGGATCGACCCGAGTATTGGGTAGTCTCCAAAGATGTAGCGTCCAGTCCGCAGCCCGGCGACGAGATCGCCTTCACGGTCACGCACTACGGCGAGGTGCAGATGAGCAAGAACGGTGGCCCACCCAATGTCGTCATGCATGTAGACGAGAGTCTTCAACTATGGGCATTCGTAGATGCCTACGGTAGCACTCAAAGGGTGAGAATGCTGGCCAGCAGACCGACATCGCCGCCGCGGCAACGTCAGAGCAACCCTTCGCCGGCCACCATTGTTCAGCAACAACAACAACAACAACACACAAATCACAGCAACGCTGCCACGGAATTGTCCAGATTCTCCGAGATGGTGCAGTTCAAGCCTGCCGTAGGCGGCGGAACTGTGCTCGTTGTCAATCTCCCGCCCCAGGCTGGTTACTCGACACCCCCGCCACCCACACCACAGCCGATTTACGCGTCCGCGGCGCACAGAAATCCGCCGTCGCAATCGGTGCATCTTTCCGCAGCTGCTTCGCCCGCGCCAGTTCCACATCCCGGCTCGTCTAGACAATCCTCGCCGCCGTTAACCGGTACTATGGCCAGCACCGGTTCATCCACGTACGTCGATCCTGTGACCTATCAGAGTCTGGACGGCACGTTGACGTCGCACGCGACGTCATCGCACTTGCAACAGTGGAGCGAAGGCCTGCAGCCAACGCTCGCCGGCCAGCCAAGCGAGTGCTCCATCTGCTACGAGCGCAGCATCGACAGCGTGCTCTATATGTGCGGTCACATGTGTATGTGCTACACCTGCGCGATTCAGCAGTGGCGTGGCAAGGGCGGCGGTCACTGTCCGCTCTGCCGGGCGCCTATTCGCGATGTCATTCGCATTTATCGGTCCTGAACAATCCAGGACTAAGAGAGAGAGAAAGAGAGAGAGAGAGAGATACAAACGGGGATAGAAAGAGCGCGGACGTCTTCCCGGTTGTTCCCATTGCCGTAGCTGCGTCCGTCACCGTGCTTCCGTCGTCTTCGTTTCCTTCCGCGTCGAATCCGCCGCGTTTCATCACCCGTCTTGCCGATCATTGCGCGAAGATGATGATTCACTTTTGCACTATACAAAAAACGGTGACTATCGTATCTTTTTCTACTGAAATGCGGAGCGTTTCTCTTCTTCGTGAAGAAAATTAAGTAGACAAAAACGGGAGGGAGAGAGAAAAGCTCCTTAGTGAGATCTTCTATACAAAGAATTTTCTCGCCCCAAAACTTCTGCCATGTTAGATTTATTACGTAGTTCGCGACGTCTTTCGAGATCGCGTCGCTGTCAATTAACGTGTCAATGCGAGATTGGACACGACGGACCATCGCGATCACTGCCATCGTAATTGATCCAAGCGAGAAAGCGGATGATGTATCGCCGCGGATGCGAACGAATGTGTGTGAGGGAGAAAGATAGACAAACCGCTACATAGTTGGTCGAGTTTGCTTTGTATATCCCAGTATGCCAGTCTGTTGTTGTGTGCGAGTGGTAACATGCTTGTGGTGGTGAGTGAGTGCGAAACCTCATGCGACATCGACAAAAGAGAGAGATCGATTTTAGATATTTTCACAAAGCGACACATAATCGTTAATTACCTTTACCAATTACTACTATCGCTCTGAGCTATCACTACTATTGCTACTATTACTACTACTATAACTCTTTACTACTACCATACTACTCTTCCAGCCTTTATTATTTTATTATTATTATTATTATTATTATTATTATTATTATTATTATATGTATTAATTATATATTATATATTAGTAACTATTGATATTAATTATATATATATTACTAGTTTTTTCGTACATTGTAACAGTCTTCATTATTTGCGAGCTTCGTTTGCCACGATCACTATTAATTTTACTTATATCCGCCGATTATAGTGATGGTTGGCGAATTGGAACACACATATAGTCACTGTTTCGTCGCGTGATTATTATTTAATAAGATTCGTGTGATTACGTAGTTACGAATTGTGTTTTCGATTGGATGCCCCGGGACATTTGGACAGCTCGTTCGAAAGGACCTTTGTTGCTCTGTGCTTTAGTGGAGGATGGAAACGTGACTGGAGATATACAAAAAAAAAAAAAAAAAAAAAAACAATTAAACACTCGTTTATCTCGTTCACGCGTTTCCGTCGTGGATGATAACTGAACGCGCGGTCTACGTTGACAGGCGAGGTTTTACCAAAGATCCTAAAGCATTTCCTGCCTATTGTTTCTTGTTATCTGCTCTCTTTGACGCGAGTGGTTGTACATAAAGATAACTTGAAAGACAATGGCTTGTACACACGTGTTGTCTCGTGCTCTGTGTGAAACAAATTTTGTCTCGAGGTGAAAATGTATCTCGGACATTGAGTCTTTATTGGAAATGTCAAGGTCAATGGGAGCTGTGATCCGAATCTAAACCTTGCTTCCATCTGGTACGAACGAGGCTGTCCACATGCCACGCTTGGTGTCGCTAACGATCGTCCGTATTTTACTTCGTAATTTGCCTTCGAACGACGAATTTTTTTCACAATTGAGAAAAAAACCTTCAAAAAAAACAAAAACAAAACGGCGAAACGATTTTCGAGCCAAAGGAACGAGGTGTCTGCCCTTCAAGGAATTAATTTTTAACGCGAGGAGAAAGTTTTTTCTCTCGGATGTAATGATAACGGATGCGCAATAAAGCTGTAGTGAAAATCTCTAGTCCAGCGAGCGGCGGATTTGCGAGTCTGCCAATCCAAAAAAAAGAAAAGTGCGATGAAAAAAAAAAAGACGGGGATAAAGCTTTTTCTTTTTCTTTGTAAGTAAGCGCGAAAAGAGGGAATAGAAACAAAGGGAGAGACCGAGAAATTTTATAGAAGAGGAGACATGCAAGTTATTGCGCGCGTCTGCCAGCAAAATCTGGCGCGTCCAAGATTCTATTGAAAAAAAAACAAAAAAAAAAACAAAAAAAATTAATAAAGATTAGATTATCATTTTATTGGTATGATCAAACGGCACGAGAACGGTTCCAAAAATGTCGCTCTGATAAAGCGACAATGGAAAGAGAGAGCGAGTGAGCGTGAGCGAAAGAGAGAGAGAGTGTATGAGAAAGAGAGAAAAAGCTAGAGTTTAAAGACATGCTTGATAATAATTATGAGTGTTTATAATTGTCATCGTTATTGTTGTGATCACAGCGTGTTTGGTTGTCGTGTTAGTCTGTCGTCAGCTTGGCCGCGTCTCGATCATTTACTCTACGTTTCTATTTTTTGATTTACTACTGCCCTTTATCATTATTATTATTATTATCATATGACTACGTGACTAATCATTCTATTTAATTCGATATATTATTTTCAGAGAGTTTAGCGTTTGTATTTCGCGAGAATTGGGGGATCTGTTGCGAACTTTCTTTCTTTCTGCAATATCTTTAGATTCTTTCACGATACATAAGGCGTAACGCGCGCACAAATCACCCCCCCCCCCCAAAAAAAAACCATTTTACACACACGCGATTTTGTACACCCGTGTATTTGCATAGAAAATTCTTATGTATATGTGATGCGAGAGTTTTTCTTCGACCGTGATGTAAAGATGCCGACGAAAATTTATACATATGTAATATAATTCGCGCAGTCGCGTATTGTTCTACACAATAAAAAGCCTATATATAATATATCTGCGAACGTTGTCTTGTGTGTTGCCTCTGTTTCGTTGACCATTTTCTATTTAAAAATCTTCTTCCTTTTCCCTCGTCCGCGGATGTTTGGAACAGACCGCAGTAGATATCCTCGAAGGCGATATCGTATTATTGTATGTGTACTTTCAAAATATGACTGTGCAATCATCCGTTATCAAAATCTTTGTAATTTTTAATTTTATTTTTTTATTTTTTTCTGTTTTTTTTTATTTTTATATTTTTATCCTTTCTTTGTTATCTTTGCGTTTTATTTTTATTTTTTATTTTTCTTTTATGTATTTTTATTTTGTTATTCTTTTTTGAGCTCGGGGAAAATGTTCCCAAAACTACAAATAAAACACCGCAAGTAAAAAAGCTGATCTAATCTAATTCTCCCCCTCCAAAATTTTTTCCCAACTCGATAAAATCACATGAAGCGCGAATGTCTCTTATCTATTTATTGTATCACAAAGCACGTGTAAAACTTTATACGTCTCAAACAAAACACACATACAAAACACGTGTACAAGAAAATAACAAAAACAATGTAAAAATCTCGTAAAAAAAAAAGAAAAAAACGATGCAATCAAACGTAAATAAAACGTTCGTTTATCCCACCGCGCGTTCTTGTGGCACGCCGTTGCGCCACAAGTCCCTTTCGGAAGGTATCCAAAAATCTTATTCCTCGGCTCCGACGTCCACGGTATCGGTGGCGACTTCCTGATAATCTTTTTCCAACGCCGCCAGATCCTCCCTGGCTTCGCTAAATTCGCTCTCGTCCATGTTTTCGCCGACGTACCTGACAGATTGCGCGCGAATTATTTCGCGAATGAAAATAAATGCGCGACGCTCAATATTTTTGAGCGAGAATTTTGCGAAATAAAACACTCGACGTAGTTTACCAGTGAACGAACGCTCGTTTGCTGTACATTAGATCAAATTTTCTGTTCAGCCTCCTCCACGCCTCGACTATCGCCGTGGTGTTCGCCATCATGGCCATGGCTCTCTGCACCTTCGCCAGATCGCCGCCCGGTACCACGGTTGGCGGTTGATAATTGATTCCTACCTGTTATTATTGTTGTCAAAAACAAAAGAATAAGATCACGTCAACGATGATATCGCGAGAAAACAAAAATGTTGCCATAAACGATCAACCTTGAAGCCTGTCGGACACCAATCGACGAACTGTATCGATCGCTTTGTTTTCATGATCGCGATCGAGGCGTTGACGTCCTTGGGCACAACGTCGCCTCTGTACAGCAAGCAGCAGGCCATGTACTTGCCTCTTCGCGGATCGCACTTGACCATCTGCATGGCCGGCTCGAAGCAGGCCGAGGTGAGCTCCATCACGGTGAGCTGCTCGTGATAGGCCTTCTCGATGGACACGATGGGCGCGTAGGTCGCCAAAGGAAAGTGTATTCTGGGATAGGGCACGAGATTCGTCTGGAACTCGGTTAGATCGATGTTGAGGGCGCCGTCGAATCTCAACGACGCCGTGATCGTGGAGACGATCTGGCCGATCAGACGATTCAGATTCGTGTACGTCGGCCGCTCGATGTCAAGATTGCGTCTGCAAATGTCGTAGATCGCCTCGTTGTCAACGAGGAACGCGCAGTCCGAATTGTCGAGCGTGTTGTGCGTCGTAAGTATGGCGTTGTACGGCTCGACAACGGCCGTGGAGATCTGCGGCGACGGATAGATGGCGAATTCCAACTTCGCTTTTTTCCCGTAGTCGTTGGACAGTTGGTCCATCAGCAGACTCGCGAATCCGGATCCGGTCCCGCCTCCGAACGCGTGGAATATCAAAAAACCCTGCAGACCGCTGCACATGTCGGCTATCTTGCGAATTCTGTCCAGCACCAGGTTGATGATCTCTTTGCCGAGGGTGTAGTGACCGCGCGCGTAATTGTTCGCGGCATCCTCTTTGCCGGAGATCAGCTGCTCGGGGTGGAACAGCTGATGGTACGTTCCCGTGCGTACTTCGTCTACGTGCGTACGTAGATTAGCGAAATTGGCATATTGATACGATGCTTTAATATCGGTTTGATGCGTATACACGCTGATTGCTGGGAACGGGGAGAGTGGGAGAAAGAAGAAAAAAAAGGAGACCAAAGACTCACCTATCACCGTCGGTTCGAGATCGAGGAAGACAGCTCTAGGTACGTATTTTCCGCCGCCCGTCTCGCTGAAGAAAGTCTGAAAACCCTCGTCGGTCGTGCAGGTTTGCGGCGGCAGCATACCGTCTGGTTGTATGCCGTGCTCCAGGCAATACAGCTCCCAACAGGCGTTGCCCATCTGCACGCCACCCTGGCCGATGTGGATCGAGAGTACTTCGCGCTAAATCATTTCGATTCATTAGCATATCTCGTCGCGAAACTGTTTCTCATATCGTATGAATTCTACTTTTTTTTTGTAAACCGACGTGTAATGTCATTGCTTTTATTATAATTCCCGAGTAAATATAATATCAAGAATTACACGCTACAGGTGCGATATGTGTACGTGTATAAACAATTCGATATATTTAACGAAGCAGAAAAATGCAACGAAAGATTTTCCAAGAGATCGGAAATTACGATACTTGCCATTTTGAGAACTTATTAGCGTTCGCAGACGGAGAAGGTGGGATAAACGAACACGGCACCGGGAATGTTTGACAAGACGATTGACAAGACGATTTGTTGTTTTCGCGATTTTCTTTTCGTTGCCCGGAGAAACGACGAATTTCAACTCGACAATGCAAGAATCTGAAAATGAAATTTTCAAACAAAGATTTTTTTTTACCGCGATATTACAAAATTGTAGGACACGTGATATTGAATACTACGCATTACTCGATGCCAATGAATTAAAACGCGTTTTTAATTATTTTAAGTTTTTAAGATAAGATATAATAGATAAGGAGCGTCATGTTTTGCAAACGCTTATATACAAATCGAAAAATGTATATCCGACGCAAGGCATATGCGTGTGTGTGTGTGTATGAAATTCTCGTTCATGCAGGAAGTGCATTTTTGACACGCTTCCTGAAGGACGAGGTGGCCGAGAGGTTAAGGCGTTGGACTGCTAATCCAATGTGCTCTGCACGCGTGGGTTCGAATCCCATCCTCGTCGAACGAATTTTTTTTCTTTTTCCAAAGAAACTTTTTTCAAGTTCGTTACAAATATAAGCAATGAAAAAAAAACTAATAAGAGTACTCTAATTTTTACGTGTAATAAGATTTCCATATACAATAAAAAATATTAAAGACATTGACTGTTTCATGTGTATATATTGTTTGAACTACACAGTTCGCAGTTTATATAATGTATATAAATAGACATATAACATACATATATATAATATATTTACGTATATAATAAGTTAATGTACACTTAAGTAAAAATTGTACAATATGACGTTATTGATTAAAAAGCGTTATATAGCGTCTCTTATCGTAAATCAATTCTGACTAATAAGGCACATTTCAATCCTGAATTCGTTAATTTAAATACTAAATATATTATTGGCAGTATATGGCGTATAAAAATATTCATAAAAAAAAACATATTAATAGAAAATAGCACATTTGGTCAAAATAATGCAAAAAATAAATCGCACGCGTCTCAACGGGCACGGGAGATCTTCTTGCTCTTATCGTTCTCAATGGGAGGTGGCGGACCTTTGGCGCTTTGATGGCGATTATAAACACTGAAAAAAGTGACGGTAGCAAAATATTTATCAGCGACAAGTGTAAAAATTAAAGAAAAAAAAATTCAAAGCAAAAACGTGTGTTTTGTAGATTTAATTTCGCAAAATCGCTCTGCAATGTAATCTTTTCTCATCTAACGATTAACACCTACTATCGATACGTCTCCGAACGAATGTAGTCCATGACGTGAGATATTCCCACTTGCAGCTGATCGCCGATCGGAGTAACCCACGGATTGAATTCCATGCGAAACACCGCCTTGTTACTCACTAAATCCAAGTTTCCTGTAAGACGGATTGTGCAGTTTTTATTCCGCTACATATATACATGTATATTATTTGATCTTATCGCGTTTTTCTTCCATCTACCTATTTCGGGAGGCAAAACCGTCAAGCGATTGCCCTGGATGTGCAGTTCTCTGAGACGAGCCAGCTCCCCGATCTCCTTCGGTAATTCGATCAGATCGTTTTCCCTCAGCACGAGCTAAAAGACATTTCAGTCGAGAATTTCTTTACAAGATTATTTCTTCTTTTTTTTTTTTCATAAATCAGAAAACTAATCTTTTGAAATTCTTACAATTTGGAGATTTTTCAACTGGCCGATCTCAGGCGGAAGATACTCGAAATCATTGTCAGCGAGATAGAGCGCTCTCAGGGTCTCTGAAGAAAAGGGAAGATTAACGTAATTTGCCGAATACACACAAATCGATCGATCAATCTAACAACGCTAATGCGCGACTGACCCATCATGAAGAAATTTCCGGGTAGATTTTTTTCGCTCAGATTGTTGTACGTCAAATCCAACACCTCGAGAACCGGAAACGCGCCGAAGCCGCGAGGAAGCACGTCCAATCGGTTCATTCTGTCGGAAGTCAAGCGTTCTGATAAATTTTCGTGCTGCGACACGCGTCGTAAAATTTTAAGACGCATGCGTGTTATTTAAAACACCTGTACCGACCCCACATTCAAGATCCTCAACTTCGGCATTTGCGACAGAGAGATCGGCAGCTCGGTGATGTGATTGTTAAAGAGATTCAGAATTTCTAGATTGACTAGATTGGCGAGACCCGGTGGTACAGCTACAACGGAAATCATTATTGTTGATAACAGTGAATCGATTGAATGCAAAAAAAAAAAAAAAAAAAATTAAGCTACTCCTCACCTTGAAGTTTATTGTGACTTAACGTCAGCCTCGTTATATTAATCATGTTCACTGAAACATCATAAAGCGGAAATGTCCGATTTTTATTTTCGATAGTACTTGTTATTCTCGTAAAATAGTTTAAAATGTACATTTAAGAAAGAAAACAAAACACAAATATCAAATAAAAATATAGAAAACACATGTTAAAACAATCGAAATTCTAATGCGTGTATTTGCTTTAGCGTTTTCGATCTGTATACGAATTAAAATCGCTCTCAAAGCGATTAATGATATCACTTCGGTAAATCATGCAATGCGATCGGCCGATTTACCAAAAGAACATTATTAATCGCTCCGAGAGCGACTCAACTCTTACCGATAGAAAACGCAAATGTTGTGTGAACGTGTCAAGCGGCAAGTGTCAAATTTAAATGGAAAGAGCGGGAGCGCGCGCGCCGTCACGCCCACGTGGTCGCGACCGCGCAGATGGCTGCGCTGCGGATATCGCTCCGAAAAACCAGCCGCGACAAGTTGCCTAATTTGGCAATGCTCGAGCGAGACGACGCGCAAGGGCGTGGATGAGACTCACGTAATCCCGGCATCTCCTCGAACGTAGCGATGCCCTTGTCCGCGAGATCAAGCTCGGGATTTTGGATCTCTCGGGCTTCGTCCAGGACCTTCTTCGCTTTTGACATCTTCCCCGCAGGAATACACGATACTGGCGCGGTCTGATTCATTGCGCGCGCAATCGCCTAGCAGCACGTCAGAAAGGAGAGACCAACTTCGTGCCGAGTCGAGCGCACGCGTGAAACACCGCACGTGAGTCACGCGCGCGCTCGACTCCGGCGCACTCTGTTTCCCTCTGTCGTCCTGACCGACGGAGCCGATCTCTCTTCCCTGCTCGTCAGATGGCGATTCCTGTACCTCTCGGACGCCGATTGTGATCTTATCACTGAATTCCTTCCTTCCTCTCGCAACGTTTGCATTTTTAAGGTGAAATTTAAATCTGACGAAATTCGTCCGCCTTTTGTGCACGGAGGGACCACCAGCTTCGCACATGAGTAATTCTCTTACACGTTCTTGCGTAAAGTATAATTAATATTATGATCAATGATTTTGTTTTTTATTTCAAATCACTTAACACTAAAAAAACGTAACTTGTTAAACCCGCGTCTTGAAAAAAAAAAAAGAAAACTTTTTTCAACAGAGAACATTTTTCCCGCACACGCGTTCGCAACAACGAAATTTACTCGCCGGCAAAAAGAAACTTCGAGAAAGAAGATCGATCAACATATAAATGTGTCTAATATCAGCACGTTGCGCATTAATAAATCGCTCGTAATTACAGAAGATATCGCGAGATGAAACGCACGAGATGGCAGCACGGTTTTAATAAACTGGTTTTAATAATGTTCCGGAATTTTTGCGACTCGTCGCAACTCGCTGCGGTTGAAACCGGAGCGGCGCGCATTCCGCGACGGTTTGAGCGTAGCGGCGGCGACATGCGATCAGCGAAATTAAAGATAGCAAGGGAAAAGGAAATACTCGCGGTCGAGAGAAAGAGAAAGAGAGAGAGAGAGAGAGAGAGAGAGAGAGAGAGAGAGAGAGAGATAAAATCCGAAGCGCCAGATGCTGCGCGGATCGAAATTTATTACGGACAACTGACTTCGTGTACTTATGGCGCGCGTTTAATTCGTCAAATTCAGAAAATACATCTCGAATATCGACGATAACAAATGTACCATCTTTTTCTCACAATTTTTACGACGAGGCAAAAGCAAGTTCTGTATCCGTGTGTGTGTGTGTGTGTGTGTGTGTGTACGCGCGGGCTTCACGCCCTCGCTTATGCATTAAGTTAAAAAAATTCATATGGAAATGTAGCTCCGCGTTGCACAAGTGTCTCGAACGGGAGACATTGTTGAGAGCGGGAGAATCGAGAAAGGTGAACATTTTCGGAAACTATAAATACATCTCGGAGCGGAGCGAGAGATGGCCCGCTTCCACCTCCGCACGCACACGTGCCCAGGCGCGGTTTTTCAGTCCGTTATCGGTGCGGGCAGACCGCGGTAACAGGGGCAGGCTAAAAAGTGTACGAGAGAGGAGAGTGTGGCGCCAAACAGCACCCGAGGGCTCGTAAGGTTAGCGACCTTGGCGTGCACACGTAAAGGCAAAGGACAGGACAGGCCGCGCGTTCGCTCGCTCGCGACCGGCGGCGACGGCGGCGACGGGGGCGCCCACCTCTTCGAGCATCCATCATTGCTATCCGGCAATCAGTGCTAAGCAACATTATCGGTCAATTTACTGACGCCGTGACCGGTCTCGCCGCGCCGGCGCGGAAAAAGCAAATCTCGTTACCGCAACGAGAGGAGAACCAATCGCCTTTCCAAACGCAACGCTCGCGGGCGCGCCGCACAACGCGCCGCTGTCCTCCATACAGTGGTCCTTTATAACGAATGATCCGATCCGCTCGGTTGCTTCGAGCGAAAATTTGTGGATCCAATTGAAACCGATGGGGAGAACGGGAAATATATATATGTTGCGGTTACACATCTCCGGAGAGAATCGGAGATAAGAGCGACGTTTCGAGATTTTCTTCCGAATTGTCGGAATTCGCGCGTCAAACTTTTTATCTGCGGATTTCTCAGCTGTCCTCCCGTTGTAAAACAAACACGCGGTTACTTCGAAACTGACGCTTCTTCTCTCCCTTTAGCTCGAAGCTCCTCTTCCTAGTCGCGACAGAAACGGCGCACCTACGGGAAATCACGTAATGTATGTCGTCCCAGGACGAGTCTAACACACAAGCGAAGGTAGGAAGAGAAAACACGTGTGTGGCGCGCTTGTATACGCGAGCGCACGTGCGTTCCGCACGCGTGCGGGAAGAGAGCGAGGGTGGGTGACAAGAGAGACGAGAGGAGATAGAAAGAGAAAGAAAAGAGAGAAACGCGAAAGAGAAGCGGAGAAGAGAAAGAGAGAAATATAATCGGACTCTCCCTGTCTCGGTGCATCCGCGAGAGGAATATTCAGTGCAACGTATAAAAGCCCGTTATGCTCGGCGGCCAGTGTGGTTGCGCGCTTGTGCATTCGTGTATGGTGCACGCTATAAATAGATGTAGCAGACCGCAGAGATTCTAAGCACCCCGCCTCCTTTCATACGCGACAACACACGGTCGATAGTATGCAACAGCGAAAAATTCAACCCATATCTTACGTATGTACACGAGAGTTGTATGTATCTACGGCTCTCTCGGCTCGTCGAACATCGAACTTCGAGCATATAAGCGCCGTTTTTCGAACGCGGACGCGCAACAAATTTTATTTTATATTTTCGCAGCGCAAACGCAATTGTTTTTTCTTTCAAAAGGCGCGTCTCTCAACGTTTTTGCGGTTTTTGTCATCCTGTGTTCGTCAGAAGAAAGACAAAATGAGAGATTTCACCGGAGATCGATAATCGCGGACCGACCGATATTTAAACGTCGCGAAACGACGACGAGACTAAATGGCGGCCGCGTTACGCCCGAGGAGACGTTCTCGTCTCGAATCTATGCTTCCTGTGCCACTTCCCAGAAGCGCAGAAGCGCGTCCAGAGGCCCGCCCCGGACCCGTGTCCCAGGCGTTAATAAGGCGTCGATGTAACCGTGCAATTTAAAACGCCGTTTGCGCGGCGCGAGCCGTTATGAGATACCGGTGCAGCTTCTGTTTTCGGCAATGAGGATGTCAGACGAGTTACGACACCGAACGGCAGGTGTTTCGAAAAGCGAGGCCGCCTCGCGCGGCTCACCACGGATTTTTTTTTTTTTTTCTTGATTTTATATTCTGAATATTGATCTTCATTGATTCCCCTTCCTCGTGCATTTGTCGTCGTCAAGATAGAGCTCGCGAATCGTTGATCTTCTCGCGACTATGGATCCAGGAAAGAAGCTCTTGACAAAATTCGTATTTTTCTTTTTTTTTTTTTTTTTTAATTTTTGTCTCAAAAATATATCCTGGAATATATTTGCCAATTTCGAGTTCCGTAAAAAAAACACTTCATGTTTTATGAAAAAAAAAATAACGCAACGATCCCTTGCAACGTCGAGAATAATAGCATTTTAGGATCTGAAACTCTCTCTCTCTCTCTCTCTCTTTGTCGGAATTATCTTCGCAGCCAGTGTAAGCGACCCGCGCCAGGCTTCGCGTTCCGAAGCCGAACGTGATTCGAGCACAACAAGCGCGCGCACGATGGAAGCTGCAAGGCCGCGAGTGTGATCTCTTCAAGGGCTTCAAGGTCAGCGATACAATCGACGATGCTCGGGGGGGGGGGGGTCGACGAGGAGGCAAGAAGGCGGGTTCGGAATAGCCGGAGGGCGGACAGGAGAGGGAAGGCGGGAGGGAGGGTGACCAGTTCGTTGCATAATTGCGTCACGTTGTCCGGGAATCACTGCCCTGAACGAGCCAGCACACTAGCGTGTTTTTACAAAAACTCGCGGGCACAAACTGGATTCCCCTCGCACTCGGGACGCGTTTGTGTACGCGCGCGCGCGCGCGCGTATCTGGACGCGCACACACTCGCGAGAGGAAAACGCTAAGGGAACGTGAACATAAAAGATCCTTCTCTCTCTTTCTCTCTCTTTCTCTCTCTTTCTCGTAATATTACATATTATGATAATTAAGTGCGCTTGAGTTCTTAGAAGCCGCGCGGAGCTTCTTCTCAAAACACGCTAACATTAATATCACCTTTATCGCGTGCAATGTACAAGTGTTTCTCGTAATAATCCTCAGTAATAATAGACATTTTTCTCTGTCTGGTCGAACATGTATAAGGAAAAGGAAAAAAACCAAAAATCCATTAAACAAAACAAACCAAAATGTGTGACGGAAACTCGTTTCGTTGGGGAGGGGGGGAGGGAGGGGTGGATTGCATCGGAGATTCTTGACGTAATTCAATGCGCCGCTGTCTCATAACCGCGATTTTTCGCGGGGATGCTTCCCGGCGTGCGCGCACGAACGCAATTTGTGTCCGGCCGCTCGTACCAGGCTGGAACGATTAAACGATACAAACGATTAGACGACCGGCCGGTCGCGGCCGCGCGCGGTGTGCGTGCCACAGCAACGTGAAATTATTAGCACTGGCGCCAGTTATCTCGCGTTTTCCGCCGTTTTTTTCCCTCGTACGCCACGGAGAGACGCGAATTTACCGCGCCCGTCACTCGCGCCGTATATACGCGCTTTACGCGGCCTTTTTGCCTGCGTGTATATATCCAGCTTCGTTCAACAAATCCGCGGGTATGGGATAAAACGCGCACTCGGCGCGCCGACCGTTTTCAGAGAGATCGATTCCTCGATAAATCGCGTCTCTTCACGATCCGCGCCGTCGCTCGCGCGCATCGAACTCTCCGCAATTCTCTTTCTTTTCATCGAGAGAATCGAGGTTTTTGCTCGCCGATGTGAATGACAGAATTGACAGAAAAAAAAAAAGAAAGCACACATCTCGCTCGTTTATTTAAATATAATATATTATATGTATATATATATATATATATATATATATGAGCCATGAGAGGCGCGCGAAGAGCAGCCACCGAACAAATCCGAGATTTCGCTAGTTAACCTACTTCGCGAAACGTCGCTTTCCTCGATTTTTTTCGGACGTCAATTCCGATATGCTCAATAGCAACTCGGAGGGACGATAATGAACACAGTGACGTTGTTGGATTAACGGAGAAAGTTCATTCTCGCGCCCGGCGCGCACGATTCGTTCGGTGGTCCTTTGTTTATGCGAAAACATCGCGTCGTGCCGATTTCATCGTTTTCGCTGATTCGTCCATTGACGAGTGCGATAAAAATT